TCTGTACTCGACCAGATCGGCAATTAAGTTCGAGTGCCTAGGGTCCACTGTAATATCCATGCGAGTCCTTACTGGTGATGTTTCACTATGAGAATATCTTTCCTCTTACCATTGTTGGCATTTTCCTTTCAATCTCTCATTTACTGTAATAGTGTAGTTTGCTTTCATTCCAATTTAAGTTCTGTAGTTTCCAAATCTGTGTTTGTGGGGAAGACAAGGAATGAAAATGAACAAGTGGGCAAATGCCTCTTTGTAATTACAATAATTTTGCTATGCTTGTGGAGTCCCTATCTTTTAAAAATTTGTATGAACTTTCAAAATCCTAAATGTTTTTTTCTGTACATTTCCTGAGTGTCCTATATAATTTAAGTTTTTTCTTTGTGACTACCATACACTAAAATTATTTTATGCACCTTTCTCCTGATTTCACTCCAGCTATCAACTACTATTAGTGACATACTTCCAGATATTCTGTAATACTCATGTACTTTAACGCTGTGGCCTCATTCTCCTTATCATCTCTCTCGCTTTCCAGCAAAAGTTTTCCACTGGTTATATTCTTTATAACTTAGTTCTCATATCTGGAACCCATTTTGCATTGTCTGAACTTTTTTTTCAGTTTCAGTGTATTTGTTGAAATATTGTTAGTTTATTTTTGTTTAGATATTTTCAATTTTACTTCAGTACAGTTGATTAGGGTTTCTCAGTTTTGTCTAACTATAGTTAGCAGAGGATTTTGCAATTTTTGCTTCACTTTTGTTTAATGGCTGAGAGGTGGATAGAACAACCATCACTACACTCATGCACATATAACCATTATACAAGTGAACATTACAATATTCACAAAAAAAAAAAAAAGTTTAACAAACTTGATACCAACATAGATCAACCTCATACAAGTGCATGGATCACCAGTCTTACACAAGTGCAAGGATTACAAACCTTACACATGTGCAAGGGCCACCACCCGTTTTCCCATGCACAAAACTACAATTCATGCAGAAGTTCATGAATGAAATACCTCCTTGCATTCCAATACACAATATCAGAATACAAATAGTACCTTTTCCCTCTCTATTAGATAATTTATCTACATGAATGGTTTTTAGATACAATAATTATGGTAGCCTTAACAATGAAAAATACCATACTCCCAAGTGGTTTGAGGCCTACAGCAAAGGGTTCTTGTCTCCCCATAGTGCTTAACCCCACTATTAAAAACTAAATAGAATGCCGTTAAAAAATGGCAAGCAGCTGATGGTTGGTAGCAAAGAAAAAATTACACAGCTGAAGTGATGACTTTTATTTGTACATTTCACTCAACACTAGGCTTTTCCAAGTACCAATACTGGATGAAACGTTATACAAATAAAGGTGTTCACTGCTGTCTCGTCTTTGTTACCAGGATTTTAATTGCGCGGTACTTGGGGGAAGTACTCTGCTATTGTTATTCCCATCTTGTCAGTGGCGTCCCTCATAGCAAGACACTTGTGTTCCTAGTTCCACTGCTTGGACGTCTCTTAAGGTAACGAGTCCCTCATAATATGGTATATGCTAGGGATGGAACCATACTAAACCTTTTGCTGATACAAATGCCATCAAAATTAGCTCATACTCACACCATCAAATTAAGCTGATACTCATCCATAGTGATACTCAATTTTAGAACAATACCAGTACCACCAAAATTAGCCAATGCCACTGATATTGATATTTTGGCTCATCCATGGTATATCCTGCTTGTCATTGACTCTTTTCCATGTTTTCAATAGCTGGGTTGTACATTATTAGGGTCATTGAAACTCCATCTTAAATAATAACTTCGGCCACATTTTAGATTAAAACAAAAGGTAGACTTATGCCACAACTATGCTAAAATTTTAAAATACAATATAAGGTTGTATACAAATTCTTGTAAGACTCACCTAGTGACATCATCTCACAGAAACTGTTCCACTTACTGCTATTCACTACTTTCTTTCAAGCAAGAAGTCTTTCATGAAGTGTAACAATTGACTTTTTATGCCTATATTTTCATTTCCTAATTCACTCACTCATGACCTGTAAGAGGATTATTTAAAATTAAGTGAATACAATTTGTTCACACATTTTATTCTTGCATAACTTCTGTAAGTCAGTAGATTGAATATAGAGTATTTAGCTAATGTAAAACCAAATTGAATATCATTTAGGCACCTTATACCCTTAAATATCTTAACCATTTCTCTCTCTCTCTCTCCAACTTCACAAAATGTTTCAACTACACTTATTTCTGACATAGGCCTGTAATTTAGATCTTCCCTAGCTCCCACATACACCAGTTCAGCTTTGAATTATCTTGGATAGTTTCAAAATAGTGGTTATTTTTCTTCTTTGCATTCTTTTAAAACCTATCATGTTGCATCTTTTTAACCCTCTACTTAAGCTTTCTCATTTTAATACCCCAGCTATCTTCCACCAAAGCAGGTTTAGCGCTTTTTTTATTATAATCCACCAAAGCAGGGCGACCAATAAATGTTAATTTCTTTTACGCCACCTCTGTTTCAGTTAGCTCGACTTCAATAATCTATTTTTTGGTTAAATATACTGAATATTGATTCATTTTTCAATAATTCACAGAAAGAGGCTTCATAACTGTAAAACAGTCTGGAATCTAGTCATGCTTTAAGTCTCAGTTAAGGAGGACACATCTTTTTGCAGTTTATAATCTTGATGCTTACACTGTCACTCTTATTCCTTATTTTATTTATGGTTTAATGTGCGAGCACTGGTGAATTTCTCAAAAAACAGGCAAAAGATTATGAAATCTCAAATGATTAAATTTCTCATTTGAGTTACTTTTCTATTGCTATTACTATTTCTTTGTATTATATCTTACATTTATTTTTTTGAACTTAACCAGTTTTAGCTCTGAACCCTTACTTTTCATTTTTCATCATTTCTTTCTCCTTTATATATATTTTTTAAATCTAGTAATTAACACCTTCCTAACAAGTATATGCCTGCACTCTGAAGGAGGGTGTTAATGTTGCAGTTTAAAAACATGTAATGTTAAATGTATCCCTCTGACAAGACAGTGATGAGACAATGATGGTTGACATTAGTTTTTTTCTTTTCGGCCAACCCTGCTTGGTGGAATCGCCATCGTGATAATAAAAAATAAAAAATATATTTTTATATTAATTTCTAGTTTGATTAAATTCTAACAAGTTTGTAGATTAGAAAGTTTTATAAGATTTTTAAAAAGCAAAATTCCCAATGTTATAATGGTTTCCTAATGAATACAGTGCTGTATGACTTGTGGGTTTAGCACTTAGTTATGATTATAATACAACTACTCTATTACCCAAATGTATATTTTATTAACATCTTTAATAATTTAACATCTTTAATAAAACTTTTTTATTAAATCTTAGTTCATATTAATTTTGAAAGTGGTGGATTGGTAAGCCAATGAAAGACCTCGGTTATCCTGTAGCTCGATTGTTAGCACACTCGGCTCTCACACTGAGGTCCGGGGATCGATCCCCAGCATGAATGTAAACATTAGGACAAGTTTTCTTAACCCTTAAACTGTCCAAACGTAGATCTACGTTCGCTTGCGTAGCGCTCCAAACATAGATCTACATTTTTTAACATGCTTATGGAGAAAATCAAGGTCGGACCGCTACGTGCGCAAACATAGATCTACATTTGGACAGTTTAAGGGTTTAGATACCTGCTGTCTCATGTTCATTTGTCAGTAAAATGGGTACCTGGGTGGTAGTAGATTGGCGAGACACATCCTGGACACAAAGCTGACCTAATTTGCCCAAGATGCTCTGCATAACGAGGGACTTTCTATATAGTAGTATGTCATTGATGTCGACTAGGCCTGTATACTTTGTACATGTACTTTTTGCACCATGAAACAATTTTTGCATTTTCTGACGAAGCTTAAGTAACCTACCCTATCAAATCATTTTATATAGATAAAATTTTATTTGATTTAAGGGTTTTAAATTTTACTGCCAATATTTTTGCAATACACTTTTATTGACACTATTCTAGATTTTCCTTCTCTTCCACTTAGTCTTTTCCCCTAATCTGATGACTGGTCCATTTTTTTTTCTTGGTTTACAAGAATTTTTTTATCCTACAGGTTTTTATATCATACAATAAATTCTTAACACTTTCTTTTAATTTCAAACTAAATAATTAGTCTCTATACACAGCTTGATTTTTGCAAGTACTGTGTCACATTTTATGTCTGGTACCAATCATTTTTGATAACCTACTTTTATAATTTAATATTTTTGTTAACCCTAATTGGAATTTCCTTAGCTAACCATATGCTGCTCTATACTTTGTCTATCAAGTGCAAGTATTGTCACTACAGTATTTATTTTATACTCCTCATTGCTTTCTCTGTATAATCTTATTTGCCAATTCCTGGTTCTCTATTCAGCCTTTGTTGGTTTAGCATATATTTTATTTTAATTTTTCCTTGGTTCTATTTTTTCCTCCCGTTTTAGCTATGTGTAAAAAATAAAATCAATTCTCTCGTGTATTTTTTGGGGGGGTAGAAGCACCTACCGCCATTCTTCCTGACAATTTTCTTCCAGAATTCCATTTTACTTTCTGGGACACCATTCAACACATTACTTTTTATTATACTCTTCTGTTCTCCCTGCTACTGAGATTTCTCTCTCACTCCAGTCTTATTTTGTTGTGGTTGTGTATGTAAAAATGTATATGTACAAATGCAATATATATATCTATATTCTGGTGGGAGGCAGAGTGTAAAAAAAAAATGCATAAAAAATCTTACATTATAGTCATATCAGTTATTGCAACTATGGCTTTTGAGCCTGTACCATCAGCCACTTCCATGCAGCAGCCTGTAATAGTTTGGCCTTGAAAAAACTTGGCATGAAGGAGCTTATACTTTGGACTGACAACAGAACATCAGCTTAAAATCATTTAAACAATACGGAAGGTTATGTATGCGATATACAACATTTGACACTTTCTAATAGATTTATTAATTGAACAAGGTAACAAGAGAAAACTTAGATCCTATTCCACAAGAAAATAATATATTTATACCAGATTGAAGCAATCAACATCTACCTCACAATCAAAGTATTTCAAAATTCAGTTTTTTTTTTCAGTCTATATTCATAAATATTAACATAGCATTTTAACCACTTTCAACGCACAATCACATTTCTCATGGGTATTAAAGAGCTAAGAGAAAAAAAAGTTTAGGGCTACTTGCATGTTTAAAATTTACACCAACCAGCGAAGTTTCAAAGTGAAAAATGAGCGAGAGCAATTACAGGATGGTAAACCGTATTTTATTCATGGTTTTGTGTTAAACATTTAAAACACGTGGAAATTGAGAAGTAATGGTTGATGGATCCTAGCGCAGAGCGAGCAAGGCCCACAATTTTCTTGGGGAGGGGGAGGGAGGGAAGGGGGATGGGGCTCTGACAGACCCAACATGCTACGTGCTGGGCCCCGATGCCTTGTTTCCACGCGAGAAATATGACTAGGACACTTTGGTTTGGAAAAAGGCATAAAATTTGTTTTAAACATTACTTATTATTAGTAGTTATCTTTTATATAACACTTAATATGGCAGAATTGATAAATATGAATCCTACAGTCTCACATGACAAAACAGTTGCATGTATGAAAATTACCATCAAGAAGAAAATGTCCATTAGCAATAGGATCATCTTTAACATGTAATGGTACTGTCAGAGGGACTGAATTACACGAGGATTAATAGTCCTGGAAACGGGTTGCATCTCTGAGGCATGTACACCACTCCCTCTGTAGAATATGGCTTAACACTACATGGTATTAAACTTATAGAAATTACATTTTTAGGAGCCACAGAACAATGATCAAGAGATGACAAGCTACCATTCTAACCTAAGAGAATTTGGGATTCTAGATGAGAATGAGGATATATTGCACACAGGCCAAAATGTATTGCATCCTTAAATGTCACATTGATGGCAGATATTCAGAAAAAGCTTGCCAACAGTCCATTGGACCAATACACAGGCTGCTGTCTTGCTACAGAGGGGGTTTTAGAGAGGCTGTACGACAGTCTGTAAATATTCAAGCATGCTATACACAATAATAAAGAAAAACTATTTACATGATTTTGTCAATGTATGAACAGGTTCACTTAGATAATGTGAGTAATGTTTCATGTAGACATTGTTAGTATGTGACACAACCTGGACAGACACTGCAGCTGGTGACTCCTGGTCATTATGGCCTTGCTGGAGGGTTCACACAGTCACATATCACACCACTGTGCTAACACCTGTCCACTGGCTATCCATTAAAGCTGGGGCCTAGCAGAGGCTCACCAATGTCAGCCATGGCAGCTCCATGGAAACACTCATGGTCCTGTCTCGTGTAATCACCAACACAATGGGTAAGGAGGGTGTAACTGAAATCCAACAGTGTAGGCAACACAGAGGGTGGTAGTCTGACAGTGTACTGGAAAGGACACTGGAAGGGGTTAGGTGACCGAGTCATAAGTCTCTAGCAGCAGCAGCAGCTTGGTGCTGGTGACCTGGGGCCGGCCAGGCCGCATCTGCCACTCTTCATTGCACCCTCTGTGGTGGCAGCACTGATGGGCCTTCTTCCCCCCAAAGATCACTTGGCCCGCGACCTGGCCTAACCCAGTCCTGGCCGACAGCAGCAACGGCTGGGCAGGATGTCCCGTGGGGTTGGCTGGCCAGTGTGGCCCACCAGGGGCTGAGGCAACACTTGCATCACAACCAGTAACTGGCCAGACAGCCTCACCCTGCTCAGTCACCGGACACTTGAGATCAGCATGATGTTTACATTCATCACCTACATTCACACACCAAGCCAACCTGAAAGAGAAAAAAAAGGAAAAAACAAAACAAAAAAAAGTTTTGTGAGTAACCCAACTCTTCCTTTAAACACAAATTTAAATGTATGATTCATGACCTATGTTATGAATACTCCCAACTTACAAAAGCTAAAAATAAAAATAAAGTTAATAAAAACTATGCACAATTATTGATGCCCTCTTCCCCTCTCCTAATATAAATCTGAATCCAAAATAACTACCATAGACCAGTCCTACAGCCCCACCTTCATTACCACTAAAATTTCGCTTTTTTTTTTTTTTTTTTGTTGTTGTTGAAAGATCTATGTACAGTGCTAGTGTGTGGATGCAATTAGATCTTTCACATGTCTTGGTTAGGCAAATTACAGTCAAAAACGAAGGATCATACAGCACTGCACAGAATTACTAGTGTGGTAATGAGAGTAACTGACGCACATTGTTTATTCCAAGGAATTCTATTTTTCAATGCCAATATTACACATTTTATACATACTAGTGCTGAGCAAGCCACAATGAGTGAAACAAAATTAATGCTAAGTTAGCTTTAAGTATATAATGGCTGACATACCACCACAAAACAAGCATAAGACAGTGGTGGAAATCAGTGATATGATCAGCAACCATTCTTGCTTATACTGAGCTGGAATTATGCATTTTCTATGCTTGATATATATGCTGGACAATATATACTGGATAACAGTGTAATATACCATACCTGGGATACAAAAGCTACAGTTACTGATTGGCATCATATTCCTTTCCCCATATTTTTGTTCTTAAACCCACTTTGGGTTTACATTATTTCAGAAAGTCTTGTGCCTTCATGGTATTTCAATGCCATAGTTCAAACAACACTACAAATAACTGTTAGAGCTAATGACTGATTTATATACATAAAAATCTATACTGTTTGCTATTACACACACAAATTTAATTCCAACAAAAAAAGTTTTAACCACTTAAGTGGTTAAAACTATTAAATCTAACACAAAGGCCATCTCCCAAAAAGTGTGCCGATAGTTCAGATGACAGTCCAAACTGCAACATCCTCACACCTTCAGAGTGCAGGCACTGTACTGCCTTCATCCAAGATGCAAGCCCAGCTAACTGGGAGGCAGGGACATGGGAGAAGTCTCTAAACAGGTCACAGGTAAATCATAGGTTGAAATTAAGACACAAGCGCAACATCTGGGTATCTTTATTGTAGACGTCTACAATAAAGATACCCAGATGTTGCGCTTGTGTCTTAATTTCATCTTGTCGGTATTATATACCATTCTTGCACAAATCGTAGGTTATTATAATTGGTTTCTCCAGAATCTCTTCATAAATGTTATCTTGCTCACACTCCAACAGCACAGTCATAAAAACCACTCGTTTCCACTCTGATGTAGCATGCTCAGCCAAGCCTGTTGAATCAACCAATTGTATTCAACCAGAGTACAGTATACTGAACCATTATATTCTGGTACATTACCCCTTTTGCCACTATAGATAAACTTCCCCTTTCCCTTCTGAAGCCCAAACCTTTTTTTTTCCACACTTGTCTATTCTATGGTTCAGTTTATCTTTCACAGACCCCATCTTCTGGCATGTCCAACATAAAATATCTGAATACATTCACTCTCTCCCTCCACTCTGATATCCAATATTCCACTGTGGTATCTACACTCTGCTGCTCTCATCACCTTGCTCTTTTCTATGTTCATTTTTCAATTTCTTCCTACACCCCCTCCCAAATTCCCCCACCAAACTGTAATCTCTCTTCATAACCTACTAAAACAAATCATCGGCAAAGAGAAATTCTGACAACTTGCACTTAGAATCACATTCATCTATTAATTGCAAACCTCTCAAACACCCTAGCATTTACTTCTTATAACCAAATTTTTTTTTTTTTTTTAACAAGTCGGCCGTCTCCCACCGAGGCAGGGTGACCTAAAAAGAAAGAAAATCCCCAAAAAGAAAATACTTTCATCATCATCACCTCATTCACACATAATCATTGTTTTTGCAGAGGTGCTCAGTACACAACAGTTTAGAAGCATATACGTATAAAGATACACGACATATCCCTCCGAACTGCTAATATCCCGAACCCCTCCTTTAGAGTGCAGGCATTTCCAGGACTCAAGTCTGGCTATATAAAAAAAACCCAATATACAGTGGACCCCTGCATAAAGATCACCTCCCAATGCGACCAATTATGTAAGTGTATTTATGTAAGTGCGTTTGTACGTGTATGTTTGGGGGTCTGAAATGGACTAATCTACTTCTCAATTTTCCTTATGGGAACAAATTCGGTCAGTACTGGCACCTGAACATACTTCTGGAATGAAAAAATATCGTTAACCGGGGGTCCACTGTATATATTAAATCACCATGGTGACATTGCACATTCCTGTCTAGGCCTGTTTTTACTGGAAAATAGTTTCCTTTTCTCCTACATATCCTAACCTGAGGCTCACTATCCACTTAAATATATATTCTTTGCTATTTTTAGAAACCTATCACAGATTCCTTACATCTGCCACAACACTTCAATATCCTTTCATATGCCTTTTCCAAATCTGTAAATATAACACAATAGTTCCTTAACTTTATGTATTGTTCATTTGTATGCTTCAATGAAACACCTGACCTACACATCCCCTGCCCAAAACTGTGATCCTGTTTCTGGCAGTAATCTAAAAGCTAATTTTATTTTATTTTATTTTTTTTTTTCAACAAGTCAGCCGTCTCCCACCGAGGCAGGGTGACCCAAAAAAGAAAGAAAATCCCCAAAAAGAAAATACTTTCATCATCATTCAACACTTTCACCACACTCGCACATTATCACTGTTTTTGCAGAGGTGCTCAGAATACAACAGTCTAGAAGCATACACATATAAAGATACACAACATATCCCTCCAAACTGCCAATATCCCAAACCCCTCCTTTAAAGTGCAGGCATTGTACTTCCCATTTCCAGGACTCAAGTCTGACTATATGAAAATAATTTTATTATGCTGCAATAGAGGTTTTCACAGAGCAAGTTTTTTTTTTTTTTTTCAACAAGTCGGCCGTCTCCCACCGAGGCAGGGTGACCCAAAAAAAGAAAGAAAATCCCCAAAAAGAAAATATTTTCATCATCATTCAACACTTTCACCTCACTCACACATAATCACTGTTTTTGCAGAGGTACTCAAACACAACAGTTAAGAAGCATATACGTTTAAAGATACACAACATATCCCTCCAAACTGCTAATATCCCGAAACCCCTCCTTTAGAGTGCAGGCATTGTACTTCCCATTTCCAAGACTCAAGTCCGGCTATATAAAAATAACCGGTTTCCCTGAATCCCTTCACTAAATATTACCCTGCTCACACTCCAACAGATCGTCAGGTCCCAAATACCATTCGTCTCCATTCACTCCTATTGAACATGCTCATGCACGCCTGCTGGAAGTCCAAGCCCCTCGCCCATAAAACCTCCCTTACCCCTTCCTTCCAACCTTTTCGAGGACGACACCTACCCCGTCTTCCTTCTCCTACCAATTTAAATGCTCTCCATGTCATTCTACTTTGATCCATCCTCTCTAAATGACCAAACCACCTCAACAACCCCTCTTCAGCCCTCTCACTAATACTTTTATTAACTCCACACCTTCTCCGAATTTTCTGCATATTTACACCACACATTGCCCTTAGACTGGACATCTCCACTGCCTCCAGCCGTCTCCTCGCTGCTGCATTCACAACCCAAGCTTCACACCCATATAAGAGTGTTGGTACTACTATACTTTCATACATTCCCTTCTTTGCCTCCATAGATAACATTTTTTGACTCCACATATACCTCAATGCACCACTCACCTTTTTTCCCTCATCAATTCTATGATTGACCTCATCCTTCATAAATCCATCCGCCGACACGTCAACTCCCAAGTATCTGAAAACATTCACTTCTTCCACTTCACTTCACTTGTTCCACAAAAATGCATAAAAAATAACTCAAATGTGTTTTGATTACAAAATAGAAAATTGTTGTGGAGATCTCTATCTGAATATCAGAGCTTACTTTAAGCTCATTAGTCAAGTTACATATAAATTCCTAATAATGTAGTTTAACGCATAGTCAAATTTCTAGTGAATGGATTTCAGCAATTTCGGAAAAAGAAAAAAAATTGGTTGGACGAACATTGAAAGTATTGGACAGAATGGACAACAGTCCATATTACCAGATTTTGTCCATAGTAATAATGTCTGGGTGTTTTCTCAAGTATCAGCCCAAGACTGATGACTGTCCAGTACGAGCCAGAGCAGCCACATCCAGGACCTGTCTGTTTTCATTGTTCCCTGAGCAGTAGGCTACCAGTGCCAGTTTATGGTTTGTGCTCTCATGTATATACTCAAGTCTCTAATTTTTCCCCTGGATATGGAGCATTCTGTGTGAATTCATTAACACATTAAGTAAAGTGCAATTAACAATGGCTTTCTAAAGTAAGTAGTGGGCCAAGAAAAAATATGTAGTTTTCAGTGCTAACCAGAAACTTTAACTAATACAGAAGATAAAGTCTGGCATCTCAGTGGCATGGGTATGCCAGGAAAATGGTTATCTATGGTCTGATAACCATAGAAACAAAAACAAATATGCTTTTAAGCTAAGTGTAGATGCTAGTGAATCTATACAGCTCATCTGACTCTCAGTAAAGTTACTCCAAGGTAATATTACTGCTTACAGCAGTTTACACATCTCTTCACTATGAAAAGGTAATTAAAAATGGCTATAAAATTACTATGCAGTAGAGTACTGCACTGTAGTACTACAAGTTACAATACCCGCACTCCTAGTGTCCAGTCTTTTGCATTAGCAGACCAAGTTCACTAGTTCGGAAGACAACTGAAAGTTTCAGACTACAATGTTGCACCCCCTACCCTTCCTATAATTCCATTAATGAGTGTGTTCACTGTATAGCTAGTGATCTCATGTGCTTTAGTTACCTGAGGCTGTGGGTTTCACAAGTGAGTGTTGGGTGCTGTGTTGGATGAGTTGGACTTGTCAGCATCATCTACCGAGGCAGGAGAGGAGACAGGCTGAGTGATAGCGGGGGCATCCTTCCTTGGTGGCATACGCTCATTCATTGCGTCCAGACCCTTAGCCTCGGCAAAGGATGTAATCTTGTGGTTTGGAGAGAAGCCAGCCATTGCTGTAGACATTGAAAGTCTGGTTATTACTTTACTCTCAGTCAGCAAGTGATCTATTAATTTTGCTCTTTATTAGTAGGAATTTTAGTAGTGGAAATTTGTACAAGAAAAAAGAATTGGAAGATGAGGTTATATAACCTACTGTATAATAAAGTACTTGGGATAGGATAGAAAATGTTTCAGGGTCAATGAAGGATTACACACAACACTAAAGAAGCTTTTACAATAAGCTGATTAAAATACTATTAATAGGGATTCTAACTATAAAGAACTGTGATGGTGATGAAAATAGGCTACCAAAAAAGCGTGAATAATTCATTGGCATGATGAGAAACTAGAAGAGAATATCTATGTTAGAGCTAGTATTTACTAGACAGATCGTTTATATTGGGAAAGAACTTTTGATCCAACAAACTTGAGTACCAGTCCCTTGCTTAGATAAAACCAACTTACACCCCCAACCCCACCCCACCCCTCCCACTCCAAGCATTGAAGACCCTCGAGAGGTTTGGAGCCTTCCTGTGAATATACAAATAATTTACTAGAAAGAGGAAAAAATTTCACATGCAAGCTATTTACTCATACAAGGAAAGAAAGTGAACATGCAATACTAAACTAAAAACTTACATAGTACAGTAAGAAGTAAATTAACACAAGGAAATGTATAAACAAAACAGGATATGAGAAGAGACAAGTCAAAGGCAATACTTCAGTGGTAAACTGAAGTATTAGAAGGAAATTATATAAATAAAATATATGAGATTTAGTAATACATACAATATTAGTACACTATATAATAAGGAATGCTAAAAGTAAAGACTAGATTAAGAAATTAGTGACTTAACAGATATTGGTGCACCTGATTATCAATTCAAAAAAGCTAGATGAGAAATTGTAGGCAGTAAAATAGAATGAACCCCCATAACAAAATGCTAAGTGTGAAACAAAACGGTAAATCATAAGGAAAGATTTGGAATAAGATATATATGCAAAGTATCAAATGAATTGCAAAGTAGATTTGTTGAAATAACTAAAGAGGGAAATGCAAGAAAATATTGATGGATATTGATGAAAATAAAGCTACAGGATTGGATGGCATACTGGTTTGGGTTTAAAGGTAATTAGCAGAGGAACATGATCAACATGATTATCTTGAAAACTTAACTGTACTGATAGTCGCTAAACTACAAATCAATCTAAATGTGCAGTAAACAAAACCATTATAAGAAAGGCTTAGAGCAGAGTGAGCAATAATATGTAGCAAAAAGTCTCATGAACTTTCATGTGAAATTATTACCACTCCCAATGGCCAATTCAGATACCAGAACCTGGCTGGTCAAAAAATGTCAAAATTAAATAAAATAAATTTAATAAATAAATTAATTAAATAAATAAAATAATAAATATATATACATGTAATTGCATAAATCCTGCTGTTGTTCAGCGTTTGTATTAATGATCATGAAAAAACTGGAATATGAGCTTTTACATAAATGAATATGAATGACCAATTCCTCTTGGGGAAATAAAGAATATGTACAGGATATATGGAAAGATGCGACCTCATTATCCTTAGACAACATATACATTCTAGAGTGAAACAGGAATTTCTCATATTGACTTCAATCACAAACAATCCTGTGTGGCTATACAGTGAGAAGCGGCAATAACACAAAGTCTAGCCTAGGACATCACATACTGCACATCCTACAGTGACCATCACATGGCCTACAATCACTTGCATTTTATCCACTCCTATACACACACTAGACGACATTACCAAAATAAAGCAGTAATGTTAGTAACTGTACTCTGTCAACTCTCTCTCTCCTGAAAATAAATTTCATAGTACGAGTGGATTACTGTTAACACAATGTGCATTCTGATGTGCCATATGTTTCCCCCAGGCTGGCTCTCATTCACTTTGTAACTTTTGGAGATGGTAGGCTACTAATTTCCCTTGCTCATTCTGAGATTATATTATGATAAGTTAACTTTACTGTTAGGCAATACCCAGATGCCACTCACTGACATTTATCCAATGAATGGTAGTTATATTTTTAGTCCACATCAAATCCTTCTCAAGGAGAGGGGCCTAAAGGACACAGTCACCACAATAATAATAGGAAGTTTTTTTTTTTTTTTTTTTAACAAGCTGGCTGTCTCCCACCGAGGCAGGGTAACCCAAAAAGAAATGCTTTCACACTCATTTGCCAGAGGTGTGCAGATACAGACAGTATAGATATCCCTCTAAACAGCAAATATCCCATATATATACAGTGGTACCTTGACTTACAAGTTTTCCGAGTTACGAGCCGTCGCTTGGTCGATTTTTTGCTTTGAATTGCGAGCCAAAATCTAAGTTACGAGCGAGCTTCAGATACGCCGGCACTAGTTGGCACAGCAAATGCCACAACAGCACATATGGTTACCCAGCCATGGAAGCATCTCTCCTGTGTTGTGCTTGCATTTTGTGCAGCTATTTTGCCAAATTTCTTTTTTCTAACCAAATTTTTTTCTAGTGATCTTGTACAGTTAGCCTCACAAACACTCAGTTTTCTCTTGTAATAAGACCTCAGAAGGAAAGATATGATCAGAGCAATAATTATTTTTACCTCAGGAATGGCCGCCACCACTCATCACATAATGACATTTTATTCATTCTAGAGTAGTATATATCATGTTTGTCATTTATATTGTTTATTAAGTCATATTAGATCAATTGTGATAGATAAATATGCCACAGAGTCAATATTAGCATTATATTGAAGTATTTTCTCCTGCCTCCCAAGAGCCAGGAATTCCACTGGAACGGATTAATGGCATTTCAATTAATTTCAATAAGGAAAATTGATGCGATATACAGTAGACTGTCGTTTAACGCGGTTTGTCTGGCATGTTTTGGTTATAGCACAACTGAAGAATTGCAGCAGATTTTTGTTTAACACTTCATAAAATTAATTTAACACGGTTGTGGGAAGAGAAAAAATTTTGAGCACGCAGTCGCCCATAGGGTGGGATGGGCTAGCCCCATCCCCCACCAACATCAGCCACCCTCCCAGCCTTCAGTTCGGTTCATGTGTGTGTTAGACGAACCTGTACCAGTAGCTCACCGTGTTTATTTAGATACGTATTAATTGCCATATCTTAAATCTGCCAAGCAATCATGGCACCCAGTAGGCATAAGAGTGTTGCTGAAAGTTGCAAGAAAAGGTTCAAGCATTAAGTTTTAGAATTAACGAAGAAAACAGAGATATTAGACAAGAGATAGCCTGTAGCCAGAATTAAGCGTCATTTTGTACACAAAAAGAATGAGGTAAATGTGCGTTTGTGTGATGACTGACTGACCGACTGACCTGACTGAATTACTGAATGACTTGACTGACTTACTGAATGACTTAAAGTTAGACTTTTTCACTGAAGAGAACCCTGAAATGGTGTCTAGAGCAACTGATACCTTACCGTCAACTGTATAATGCACTATAGGGTAAAATAGAACAAATTCCTTACAGAATTTATGCACACTCCAGTACATCCATCAACTTAAGTACCAGAACCTGTACCATCCACCTCAGCCCAGTAGGGCCACAACATAACTCTCCACTCTCTTCACAATCATCCACAAACACCAGAACCCACAATTTAAGGTAAGAAATACTATTATTTTAGTTACATTTGTAATCTTATGCAGTAAAAAACATAATACATCACAACAGTGAACTACAATTACATATTCACTTTTATTTTTGATGAAAGTTAACACACATGTGCAACATTCGGTTATCTTTATTGTACAATAAAGATAACCATTGTACAATAAAGATAACCAGATGTTGCACATGTGTCTTAACTTTCATCTTGTTGGTATTTTATACCTTTCCTGCACAACTTTTATTTTTTGTAAGATCTGTTGGTCTAAAAAAAAAGTTGTTTGGTTTTTTGGGGGCTCCCAGGAACGTAACCCTATTTTTCCCACAAGTTCTTCAGTTTGTCTAACACTGTTTTCCCTAACACGGCATTTTAAGGAACATAACTACCGTGTTAAACGACAGTCTACTGTACGAGCAAACTGAGTTACAAGCTGGGTCACAGAACGAATTAAACTCATAAGTCAAGGTACCACTGTATTCTGTATTCGTACTATAATGTGCAAGTGACTTAAATTGCTATTTCATATGGTATAGCTTTATTATTAAATATTTACCATTCTTCTACAGCTAATTTTTCCATAAAAAATATTAATGCAATATTAAAATTTAAAATACTTTATCTGAACAATAATTTTCTTGTTTGTATTTAGATTGGTCATTACAGCTTCTTACTCGAAATAAAGAAGGCATAAAGGAATGGAGGGGCAATAAATTTAGACACAATCATTAATCAGTTTTTAACACTTCTAACCATTCAATTAAATTAGAAACTTTTAAAATACTCTGTTTTTAACAAAATAAATTTTAGTCACTGATAATGTTTGGAAATTGGCAAATGCCAACAATGTGCTGCTATAGTCAACTAACTTACCATTTTTCAATGAGGCTTTTCCGCCTGACAAGGCTCCAAGTGGCAGAGCACCAGTAGGGGTCAGACCCTTGAGCTGCAATACACTCTCACTCTCCTCTCTGCAAGCATCACAAAAGTTGAAACAAAATATTATAATTTAATGAGGCAGAATATTGGTGAATAAGGGGAATAAAATAAGAAGCAAAGATGGTACAAATGGAAAGAAAAAGTATAATTTTTAGCTGTTTCACTATCTTATCTTGCACTTATCTAAGGAGGGACAGCAAAAAGAGGAGGAAGACAGTATAAATAAATAAATAAAAAAAAAAAAAAAAAAAAAAAAAAAAAAAAAGTGGGAGAAATGGTAGAAAGAAAGACACTGACTATCTTGTATTACTATTGATGTAAGAAAATGAAAAAAATACAATACAGCCATGTATTTAAATGTTAACCATATGGTCAGTGCATTTGTAAGCAACTTTTCTTTCTCAATATTCTGATCATCTCCCACTATGGTAGGGCAACTCACTGAATCACTGTCGCTTATTCATTCTTGCCAGAAGGGCACTGACATTACAGTTCAGATGACCCTCCAAACCACAACATCTTCACCCCTCCTTCAAAGTGCAGACACTGTACTTCCCACCACCAGAACAAGTCTGGCTAACTGGTTTCCCCGATACCCTTCATCAATGTTACCTTGCTCACACTCCAACAGTACATCAAATCATAAAACCCACTTGCCTTCACTTCACTAATGCACTCACCTAAACCTGTTGGATGTCCAAGCCCCTAGCACTCAAAACCACCTTTACCCCTATCCTCCAACCTTTCTTAGGATGGCCCCCCTACCTCTCATTTCCTCCATTGCAGATTTATACATCCTCCAAGTTATCTAATGGTTCACCATCCCCTAAGTGTCCAAACCATCTCAACTTTTCCTCAGCCCTCTGAATAATACTTTAGTAACTCCACACATCATTTCCAGGCTCTTAATTTCTGCATAAAACTCACCACACATTGCCCTCAAACACATCTCTACTGCCCCCAGCTGCCTCCTTGCTGCAATGTTCAAAACCCATGTTTCACACCCATACACCAGTGTTAGTACTACTCTATTTTGGTACATTCCACTTTTTTTTTCCTCCAGAGATAATTTTTTTGTTTCCAGATGCCTCAATGCACTTACCTTTTTTTTCCCTCATCAATAATATGGTTCACCTCGTATCTCTTAGAACTGTCTGCTGCCATTCCCTGGTATCTTCCTCTTTCATGCACACAGTGAACCAATGTACCACTCAAAAACTATATCTCAACCTGCTTATAACATTTCTGTCTTAATCCCATCTATCCAAGCTGTTTCACTACCTTTCATTCTAACCACTGCCTTATGCACCTCCTCATCCTTAATTTTTTGAAGATTATTAACAAAAAAGAAGATTTTCACAACCATAAACCCAGTTAGCTCTCTAGGCTGGAATACTGCTGTACACTAATGGCCCCCCTTCAAGGCTGGCAACATTACAGACCTAGAGAGTGTACAAAGAACTTTCACAGCACACACAAGTGCAATAAGGCACCTAAACTACTGGGGACGGCTGAAGGTCCTTGATCTGTATTCCCTCGAACGCAGGTGAGAGAGATACATGATAATACAGTGGACCCCCGGCTTACGATATTTCATTCCAGAAGTATGTTCAGGTGCCATTACTGAGCGAATTTGTTCCCATAAGGAATATTGTGAATTAGATTAGTCCATTTCAGACCCCCAAACATACACGTACAAACGCACTTACATAAATACACTGTACACTTACGTAATTGGTCGCATTGGGAGCTGATCGTAAAGCGGGGGTCCACTGTATACACTTGGAAGGTCCTGGAGGGATTGGTACCAAACCTGCACACAAAAATCACTCCACATGAAAGCAAAAGACTCGGCAGGAGATGCAACATTCCCCCGATGAAAAGCATGGGTGCCACGAGTACACAGAGACAACACAACAAATGTCCAGGGCACAAGACTGTTCAATTACCTCCCAGCATACATTAGGGGGGATTACCAATAGATCCCTGGCTGTCTTCAAGAAGGCACTGGACAGGCACCTAAAGTCAGTACCTGACCAACCGGGCTGTGGTTCATATGTCAGCTTGCATGTGGCCAGCAGTAACAGCCTGGTTGATCAGATTCTGATCCACCATGAGGCCTGGTCTCATACTGGGCCGCGGGGGTGTTAGACCCCCGAAACCCTCTCCAGGTAAACTCCAGGTCTCCAGGTAACAGTACATTGCTTCAATCTTCAGAACACTCATAACTTGACCTGATCTTTTCTTCTCCTCTCCCTACCTCTTCTACTTTCCTATTTTCTTTCTCTAGATGTGTTCCAACCTTCAGTGTTTCTTTTTTACCCCTGTGTTTTTGGTCCTGCCCCATGTGGGCCATTAGCTCTCCTGCAGTGCTCATTTCTCTCATCTTTAGACTTACTCCACTTCTACCACTCCATTACTACTCCTATTGCCTCCCTTCACCTACCTTTCTCGTGTGCCGCTACAACTACTCTTCCTACTTTCTACTACCACTACTAATTCTACTACCAGCATTACCTCTACCGTACTACTTCTCCACTTCCTTCTTCTCTTTGTTCTGTCCCTGTCCCCCTCACCTATATATACTGGCTCCCTCATTCTTGTATGTTATTGTGACTTGTAAGTGGTCCAAGTCAGACTGAAACGTTGTGAGCTTCTCTTTCCTGTGTCCAGATTGTTTGTGTGTTTTATTCAAATTATATTTCATTGACAATAAACCAAGACACTGGATAACTCACCTTAAAACTGAGAACACACGGGCCATTTTGCCAATGGCACGAATCTTGTTTCGGATAACCTCCTTCCGCATGGCTCCTTTTTCTGTTGATCATCACAAGTAGACGTAAGTATTACACTAAACATAATGGGGGACAACTACTTAATATACCCCTTTGCAAACATAATAACCTTCAATTATATATCAAACTTCAAAAACTAGTTAATGCAGAATTTATAACCCAGAGATATGCTTAAGCCCTACATGGTGACAAGGAGTTTGGGCCTCAGAAATTAAAACATTAGCACTGGAAAACTGTTAATTAAAAAGTCCTGATATCAATATATCAATATTATTAAGTGCACAATTCTAGATGAAATTAATTATCTTGTTTTTAATTATTTTCACATTACCCAATCTTATTTTTTTTTTACCAAGTGCTTGTTGTACAATGATGGTGAACCCATCATAAAGATGTACAGTAACATATATTGACAACATTCCTAGCAAGACAACACATACAGGTGAAACATCCCATACAGTATTCTGGCATCTCACAGTCAATGCCACATTTCAATCAGTGATGACAATTAACTGGACGAGATTTCTTTCATTGCTATAAACAACAGTTCACACCAGAAAGAAATCTCTTCCACCAATGACAGGAAATAACTTGTCAAATGAAGCCAGAGATAGCAGCATCTATAGAACCTAGAGTGCAGCTTCATCTATGACTAAGTTTCCCCACTACTATGATGAGCTACTCAAAGAGCCTTTTAGGTACTGTATCACTAAAACAAAGACCCATTTTCTTGGTGTTGTACATGAGAAAAGGAGTCTTTATGAAATTTCTGTGTAAGGCTCACTGAAGTATATCCCTACCCCCCTAGCAAAAGTTTGACAGCATTGGCTCTTACACAACTTACTCGTTTCTTCCATCAAGAAGAATAAAACATTAAGTTTTTCCACTTACACTGAAATGACATACAGGAAATCAATAAGTTTGCTCTTGACACGAAATTGACCATCTAAATGCAGGACTAGTTTGTCACAAAGCAGACACAAGCATAGTCTAGATCTACTATTTTTACCTGGAATAATTATGTCTGGTTTGGGACTGCCAGCCATAAGTGACCTACATACTGAAGTTACTCTCAACAGTTCAGCCACTCACAGCTAGCCATGTCACCTACACGACTAAATTTGAAAAGCATCATTTGTAACCACAACTTCAAGCACAAACTTAGCTCTGAACATAGCACGACCTGCATTGCTGGTTAGCTGATGTGATTAGCATTCAAACTCTCAATTCTAATGACATTTAATCTGGTAGCCTCTCGTTATTTTAGGATAAAAAATACCTATTGGAGTCAGTCATGAGGGGAAAGTAGTTAATGGAAATGTAACATAAAAGAAAATGAAATACATGCATGAAAAAATTAAAACGGTATTAAAGCACTTCAGACGGGCATGCAATCTCCTTACTTGGCTCCATGCCTGGTGCTCGACTTACCCGGCACAATTAGCACTGTTGTTGCTTGCAATGTTTGCCACAACAGTATCAACAAGTATTAAGGTCCAAGAAGATAAGCAGGATTTTGTTGGATTTTATGTGCACGCAAGCCACAGGAAATGGAAAGAAAAAGGAAATACTAGATAAAAAAGATACTGGAGACAATACGAGTGAAATTAACAATAAACCCAAAGATATTACTGGTAGAGACCATAGTGCTGCACGACCAAGATTATCATTCTGAAGCCTCATTGGGGACAAGTAGTTACTCTTGTGGTTTAACTCTGAGCACCGACTGGCTGTCATGCAGTCTGTATTTTCTTCTACCCTGCATAATCAGCCAGACTGTTAAATTCCTAATTAAAAGCATTAGAATATATACTTATCACCTGAGGCTTCATAATTTCTGGCCACAACTGCATTGGTATATATGTGCTTTGTCCACTAAGGACAAGTTCAAAGAAAAAGTAAGAACCTGACAATCAGCCATTTCCAGTCAGCATGCATCAATCATTCCAAACAAGCACCCAATGACCTCAAGGATCTAATAGTCAAATTCCCCATACAAGCAAGACATGGCATCTAGCTGTAACATAAACAACAATCTTAGGTGGTTTATAATTTGGACTAATTTTGTATTTATAATACAAGAGAATTAGCCTCATTAATGTGCTACCTAAGTATCAAAATTGTTGTTTATGACACACACAATCAAAGAATAAGACATGACTCCAATGGATCTTTATTACAGACATTTGTATTGAGACATTTTAACAGGCCAAAAGAAATGGCTGCATGTCATGAAAATTGGCCTGAAATGGTCACCTTTAATTACTCCCCTACACAAGCTGCCCAATGCAATGTATTAGTCAATAGGACAAACAAATCCTGTGATAGTCAAATAACAACTGAAGACATTTCCCAGTAGTTCATCCCACAGGAAGTTTTCTGGTCTGCTCTGATGAATTCCTCAGAGATAAGTACCAGAAATCTGCCTTCAGGAATCTTAGTAATTACTTTTTTTTATTTTTGTCCCACTGACTGAAGACAACCAGCCAGCATGAGTCAAATCACTGCTGAGCTCACATTTTCAAGAGGTGCTGGCCATTCAAGTATACAGTACCATGTTTAGCTACTCAACTTTTAATTCAAAACTACAGTAGTGGAATGTAACTACGTACAATACTTAATTCCTAGCAAGTAAATACTTTCTGTATGAGATGGTTATTGTGCTAATTTTATAGGCATCAAAGTTTCCAGCAACAAAACTTTACTTATACACTAAGAATACTATTAATGGGATCTCAGACCTTCGGTGCAGTTTATACACCAGTGAAGTGAAAAAAAAAAAAATTAATATAGTGTGAGTGCAGCAGCAGTGAGGGGAGAAGGTGGTGGTGTAGGTTGGGCTAAAGCCCAAGGCCAGGCACATTATGACCAGTACATCACACAGTGTACAGCAGTGCTGGCACAGGAGGGCAGGTCCCACCCATCTTGCCACTATCAGATACTAAGGTACATCTAACTAGTTTCTCCTGGACTATGCTGGCCTGTACATAAACTAACTTGTCACATAAGACAACACATTCACAAACAAAATGATGGGATTTAAAGCTTTAAGTTAAAGTTAATTTTATCAACAACTTTGGGTATTCAAGAAATACTGGACATTAACAATATGAAACAAGACAAATCTATTTAAAACTAACTACTGTAGGTAACAGGCCACATAGTACTTTCTACAGTTATACTACAGCCTTTGGACACTAATATGAAATCTTACCATCTTCCCCTTCACCATTCACGAGAACAAAAAGAAAGTAGAAAAGACTGGTAAACACTTAGGACATTAAGATGTGAAGAATTCCATTATCTGCCATCATGAAGCCACAATCATGAGGTTAAACAATTAAATAATTGTGCCAATATTGCTAACACAGCAGGCTTGCTGGGTTGCCTCAATCATCAATCATGGAAACTAATATGGCAATCTCAAGAGAAAAAAATACATATTAATCCAAGAGCACAGTATAAAGAATTCTATAAAAAAAAAAAAAGTTTAATTTAAGAGAATATTTGTTAATTGTAGATCCTTTCCTCCACCTAGGAGAAATGGTGCATGCAAAAGTTTGAAGAAATATTCACCACTGCTTTGTAAGACAGTGAATGTAAAGAATGGAAAAAGTTGAACATTTACGTGTATATACAAAACCCTCGCTACTAATTCCCCAGCTGCATGAAACTAGAGCCTCAATCATCTTTACTATTTTAAGATCATGCAAAACTATTTAGTATACCAATTACAAATTCATAATGAAACACATGAATAAGCCAATATATTCACAAGAATGCTCAATCTCTAAGTAAGGCTTTATCAGTCATTACTTGTAACAACTTTCCAAGTGTTTTGCCGAGTTTGCTAATGCATAATCTGAAGATTCAGTGTAATGAGGAAAGCTGCTTATCACAAAATTAAATCCAATTAATATACTAAATATGCATGTTTTTAGACAACTTTAAACAATATTATACTCAATTTGATTTTTTTTTTTTTTTTTAAAAATTTGAAAGCTGGTAAACATAACTGCATATTCAGATCTCAAATTCTATCAGAGTGAGTGAGTGAGTGAGTGAGTGTGTGTGTGTGTGTGTGTGTGTGTGTGTGTGTGTGTGTGTGTGTGTGTGTGTGTGTGTGTGTGTGTGTGTGTGTGTGTGTGTGTGTGTGTTGTGTGTGTGTGTGTGTGCGCGCGCACATGCACTCTCACCTAATTGTACTCGCCTAATTGTGGTTGCAGGGGTTGAGACTCGGCTCCTGGCCCCGCCTCTTCACTGAACGCTACTAGGTCCTCTCTCCTTTCACCATGAGCTTTATCATACCTCGTCTTAAAGCTATGTATGGTTCCTGCCTCCACTACATCACTTGCCAGACTGTTCTACTTCTTGACCACTCTATGACTGAAGAAATACTTCCTAACATCCCTTTGACTCATAGGAGTCTTCAACTTCCAACTGTGACCTCTTGTTTTTGTGTCCTATCTCTGGAACATCCTGTCTATGCCCATGTTGCCAATTCCTCACAGCATTTTATATGTCAATATCATGTCTCCCCTGACCCTCCTGTCCTCCAATGTTGTCCGGCCCATTTCCCTTAACTTCTCCTCGTAGGACAATCCCCTTAGCTCTGGAACTCATCTAGTTGCAAACCTTTGCACTTTCTCTAATTTATTGACGTGCTTGATCAGGTGTGGATTCCAAACTGGTGCTGCATACTCCAACATGGGACTGATGTATATGGTGTACAGAGTCTTGAATGATTCCTTACTGAGGTATTGGAATAATATTCTTAGGTTTGCCAGACGCCCGTATGCTGCAGCAGTTATCTGATTGATGTGCACCTCTGGAGATGTGCTCAGTATTATACCTGCCCGAAGATCTTTTTCCTTGAATGAGGTTTGCAGTCTTTGGCCACTTAGACTATACTCGTAGTCTGTAGTCTTCTTTGCTCTTCTCTGATCATGACTTTGCATTTGGTGGGGTTAAATTCAAGGAGTCAATTGCTGGACCAGGCTTGTCGCATGTCCAGGTCTCTTTGTAGTCCTGCCTGATCCTCGACTGTGTGTGTGTGTGTGTGTGTGTGTGTGTGTGTGTGTGTGTGTGTGTGTGTGTGTGTGTGTGTGTGTGTGTGTGTGTGTGTGTGTGCACGCGCGCACGCGCTCACCTAGTTGAGGTTGCAGGGGCCGAGTCCTAGCTCATGGCCGTGCCTCTTAACTGGTCACTACTAGGTCACTCTCCCTGAACCGTGAGCTTTATCATGCCTCTGCTTAAAGCTAAGTATGGATCCTGCCTCCACTACATCGCTTCCCAAACCATTCCACTTCCTGACTAGTCTGTGGCTGAAGAAATACTTCCTAACATCCCTGTGATCCATCTGTGTCTTCAACTTCCAACTGTGTCCCCTTGTTGCTGTGTCCCATCTCTTGAACATCCTGTCTTTGTCACTTTCAATCCTCTCGTATTTTGTATGGTCGTTATCATGTCCCCCCCCTGCCTGTGTGTGTGTGTGTATGTGTGTGTCTGTGTGTGCTGTTAGTTACCATTTTGTCTAGGCACATGTCATTAGACACTAGGCTTCTGTGTGGTTTGTGTGTTACTAGTGTGTGTTGTGTGTCTGTGTCGTGTCTGTGTGTGTGTCTGGTGCTTAGTGTTGATGTGTGTGTGTTCTGTGTGTGTGTGTGTGTGTGTCTTGTGTGTGTGTGTCTGTGTAGTTCTTTTGTGTGTCATCCTGCTGTTGTGTGTTTGTGTGTGTATGTCTGTGTGTGTGTCTGTGTGTGTGTGTTGTTGTGTGTGTGTGTGTGTGTGTGTGTCTGTGTGTGTGTGTGTTAGTTACCATTTTGTCCTAGGCACATGTCAATTAGACACTAGGCCTGTGTTGTTGTGTGTTGTGTGTGTGTTTGTGTGTGTGGTGTGTGTTGTGTGCTGTGTGTGTGTGTCTGTGTGTGTGTGTTGTGTTGTGTGTGTGTGTCTGTGTGTGTGTCTGGTGTGTGTCGTGTTGGTGTGTGTGTGTGTTGTGTGTGTGCTGTGTGTGTTGTGGTGTGTTGTGTGTGTGTGTTGTGTGTGTGTGTGTGTGTGTGTGTGTGGTGTTGTGTGTGTGTTGTCTGTGTTGTGTGTTGGGTGTGTGTCTGTGTGTGTGTTGTGTGCTGTTTGTTCTGTGTGTTGTGTGTTGTCTGTGTGTGTGTGTCTGTGTGTCTGTGTGTGTGTGTTCTGTTGTGTCTGTGTGTCTGTGTGTGTGTGTGTGTGTGTGTGTGTGTGTGTGTGTGTGTGTGTGTGTGTGTGTGTGTGTGTGTGTGTGTGTGTGTGTGTGTGTCTGTGTGTGTGTCTGTGTGTGTGTCTGTGTGTGTGTCTGTGTGTGTGTCTGTGTGTGTGTCTGTGTGTGTGTGTGTGGTGTGTGTTGTGTGTGTGTGTCTGTGTGTGTCTGTCTGCGTGTGTGTCTGTGTGCGTGTGTGTGCGCGTGTGTCTGTGTACTC